TCCTTCAGACTTCTCGGTGAAGACCGAAACAAAGAAGTCATTAAGCAACTCTGCCATTTCCAAGTTTCCTGTTACTGTTACCTACTGACAGTGTGGAAACTTGTAACAAGGAAGAGAATGCGTCTAATCTTGTGACTATGAAGTCAAGCAGTTTATCTGAAAGAGTTTTTTGTAAAAATCTTCCTGATGTAACAGGTGATTCTGGATTTAAGTGGAACCCAGAAAGAGTCCGTTGTTGCTCAGTAAAATGTTCCCTTAGAGCAAGCCCTAGGTGAATTTGCTAAAGTGAACACAAACTGTGCACACACTGGCATTGCTCGCTGAGCAGGAGGGTCAATGCTCACGGTAAGGAGGAGAAGGGGCTTAGCCTTTAACTGCACAAACCCCTTCTGTCTACCGCACCCTCCCAGACGCGGCTGCCGGGTTTGGAAGGGAAAGGAAGTCACCCCCCTTCCCACACCACACCTGCCCTGGAGAGGGGCGGAGACTCCGGTCTGAGGCTGTCAGGGCGCCCTGGGAACAGGGCGGGTTATTGTGAGGTTCTTACACCGACCCAAAGTGTGTCAGGCGCTACAGGGAACAAGCACAAACCCAGGTCTCTGCTCCCAGCACCTCACAGCCTCGACCCCGGTGAGAAATGCCCCAGCGCAGCCTGAGACCGGCCTGATTCATACTCTCTCTCTCTGTCAAACACACACACACCTCCTGTCACTCTGACCGACTCACACAGCCACGCGTGGCGTTTCACGGCCAGTTTTTCTCATCTCTGTCCCTGCAGCAGCCTTCAGGGAGCAGGGGCCGCCGCTGGGCTCAGAGAGCTGACTTTCCCCCTGGGCCTGGGGCTGGAGGATTTTGTCTCAGCTCACACCGGCACCTCCGCACTGTGCCTCTCTAGCAGAGCAGTGATACCGGGCCGTGTCCTGCTGTCTCAGGCGGCTCATTCCCAGGTACAGCTCGCTCTTGGCGTTGTCTCTGGAGATGGTGAATCGCCCTTGGACCCAAGCCGCGTAATACGGACTAGACCCATCGTAGTAAATGCGTGAGACAAACTCTGGACTTTCCCCGGGACTCTGCCGGTACCAGAACATATCGGAGCTGCTGAAGGTGAAGCCGGAGCCTTTACAGGAGAGCCGGATGGACTCCCCTTCATTTCTAACAGCCCCCCCGGACTCCACCAGCTGCATCTGGGACTGGGCACCTGAGGGAGAAAACACATTAATAAGCGTAAAGATAATTGTTCACTAGAGTGATAAGGGGCGTATAAGCAACAGAGTCAGACAGACAAGTTGCCAGCTAATAGAGTGGAGGACAGCATAGCTGGAGAGAGAATACAGTAGAGGGGGAAATGCGGTTGGATAGAGAGATAATACAGCGCAGGGGTAATCGATGGATGAATAGCTACTGCGGGATTAGAAACATACAAAGAGATGAGATAATGATGTGCATGGAACATTGTATAGATTAGACTGTGAAAGAAAGAAAGAAAGAAAAATATGATGATGCCTGATGGATGCAAATACATAGATAGATAGATAGATAGATAGATAGATAAGGAGGTTTATACAGACAAACAGAAATAGATACGCTACAATTAAAAACACATACTCTGAAGGTTCCCTGTATTTTCAAACATTTTCTCACCTTTCCAAGCTGCTAAAACGAACACAAACAGTACCCACACTGGCATTGCTCGCTGAGCTGCAGGGTAACTTCTCCCTGTCAGGGTAAGGAGGGTTTAGCCCTTAACTGCACAAACACAAGACTCGGCCGCTTCTGCCTATTGCAGCCTCCCAACCGCTGGTGCCGGGTTTCGAAGGGAAACGAAGTCACCCCCCTTCCCACACCACACCCTGCCCTGGAGAGGGGCGGAGACTCCGGTCTGAGGGTGTCAGGGCGCACCGGGAAGAGGGCGGGTTACTGTGATGTTCTTACACCGACCCGAAGTGTGTCAGGCGCTACAGGGGACAAGCGCAAACCCAGGTCTCTGCTCCCAGCACCTCACAGCCGAGACCCCGGCGAGAAATGCCCCAGCGCAGCCTGAGACCGGCCTGCTGCAAGCCTCCCCCGGGAAGCAAACGCTGCTCCGGGCTCGTGAGCAATGGTCTCTGGGTGTGGGAAGAGGCTTTGGGATTCCCCTGGGCTGGTAACTATCTCCCCTAGGACACAAAGGGCCGCGCAGCGCAGGGGAATAAAGTCTCACATCCGGGCTGGGAGTCAGGCTGCCCCCACGTGGCCCCGTCTTTTTAATCCGCTCCTTCACACGCGGTAACCCTTGCTCAGGTTTGGCGCCCACTGGAATAGCCGCAGAGGCGGGCTGGGATTGCAAACCGCCAGGTTTGAGTTTCGGTCCCTTCTGTAACCCGGAGGGATGCGCCTCTCTCAGCTGGTCTCTCCCTCGGCCTCCAACTGCGCTGAAAGTCCCTGTGAATTCACCCCCCCCTTTTTGTCCCAGCCGCCCTGTGTCCGTGTCGCTGTGCCTCTCTCCTGGCGCAGTGGTAGC